TGGGTGACATTTACAATGTTTCGCCAGTTTACATTAGGATTTAGGAACTATAATTTATTACATTGCTAATTTGATCAACAGACATTTTACCTGTGGTGAATTTTTTTTTATTTTGAGTTGAGGACTAAAAACGAACATGAATTGTACCTTCATTATTAATGCAATCTAGTTTATGACAAGAACATATTACTCTTTTAAGTAAATTCACAAGCCTTATCCTTTTTGTTTATTAACTACGACAATATACAAATCACTTGCTTATAAAAAGTAGAGATTTATTTTTAGAATTGAACAATATTGAAAAGTTATTTAGGATCTATTCTGATCCAAGGTTCATGACTCTATTTGTTTTTACCTGCTTGAAATTCTATAGTTTTAGCCTGGAATTAAACTAGTTATTTTAAAAACTCATTTAAGGCTATGGCTATGTAAAGAAAGCATTTTCTTTTCTTTCAATGGACTTTATAGTTTCTCCTTCCTAATCCTGCTATTAGAAAACAGTGTTTGGAGTCCGAGGGCCTATCTTAAAATACATTCCACTGAATCCTATAATATTTATCTGAAACACAAAGCCATGAGGTTGTTCAAAAGAAGTTGATTGAGCTAACAAGAGACAAAGAGTTTTGCTTTTTCCAAAGCATATAAATCTCCACAAGATAAAACCACACACAAATCCCCATTCTTCCAATCTTGAGACCAACGGACTGGCTGATACCTGTCAATGAAATTTTGCCTTTGAATGCCATCATGTGGGCATGTTGCCCATCGCAAAACCGCCTGCTCTGATACTATGGAAGAGCGGATCTACCATGAACTCAAATGCTCCCCAGCCAAAATACAAGGTTTTTTTGTTGATGTTTTTTTTTTCTTTTTTTCTTTAGAAATCCAATGATCACACCCTGGACTAAAATGTGCCTACCGTCCCTGTCCTACTGTCCCCATTGATATGTACTCATTTTATGTGTTCCTGGCCATGTTATACTTATTTATATCCATCTATTTGTACCAATCTCATGCAATAATGTCCATGTCTATTCTAATACCTGTTGCCTTGTACAGATTGACAAATAAACAAATATAAAATAAAATAAATGTTAAGGAAACCACATTTCCCTCTCCTCTCTCTTCTTTTTCTTCTGGGAAGTTTGATCCATCCATCCCACAGCACTAACTCCAGAGGCTAAATTGGTGTGTGTATGTGGGGAAACATGCCATAAG